ATATAAGTTTGTAAAATAGATCTATAGAGTTCCTTTAAGAATATAAGCTTGCAAGAAATATCTAAGGTAGTCTTAAGACATGTAGTAATAAGCTTGTAAGAAGTAAAGATGCTAGTTGTAAATGTAAGTTTAAATAAGAAATAAGATGGAATGAACATAAGAAATATATAAGAAGTAATAAGAAATATATTTGCTAAAGTAGTTCTATAGTTCCCTTAAAGAGTATAAATAAGTAGATGTTAATGTTATATGTGAATTTGTAAAAAAGTGTAAATGTTAAATATGAATCTATTCCTAATATATATGGTGAAAGAACCCGAGACACAGAAGGTTAGTGTCCCAGTAGACTGCAAAGTAGGCAGTCTGAATGGTTTCAAAAGCTCCAGAAGCCGCTAAGAAGCTAAGAATGGCGGACGCCAGAACCAGCACAAGGCATCCGCAGCTGAGATCTGTGGAAAATCGACGCAACACAGAAAAACCTGAGCGAACATCAAAAACGGTGCGGTTTAGAATACTACTCTACCTAAAAAGGTCTCTGACTTGAGAATAAGTTCAGAGATGCTTGTTTGAACAAAAATTGTTAACTGCAAAAAGTTTTGGTTGAAAAACATCTCTTTATATTTTGAAGTGATAGTCCGATACCAGAATTTATTTCTTGTTTGAACTTTTTGAACTTAAAATGAGAGAAAACTACAAAAAGATCTTGGTTATGGATTTCTTCATATTTGGAAGGCTAGTACCAGAATTTATCATTTGAATTTTGGGACTATTGAAATGAACAATAGAGATTTTATTGCAATGGGACAATTTTGAGTTTATTCATAGTAATGACCTAGGAACTGTTTTTTGGAATTGGATTAAAAATAGAACTGTTTAAATGAAGAAATGTATTATTTCTACCTAGAATCAAGATGCAGTTTTGTGTATGCATATATGCTTTATTAATTGGTGATTCATGAATTGTTTTGTGGAACTGTTTATGTAAAAATGAAATTACAGAACTGGTTTTGTGTTACAAATGGAACTGTTTAAATGGAAAAGTTTGGGTTTTCTAATTAGGCTTGAGATTTTGCTTAAATTATAAAGAAAAGGGGGAGAGTTAATATTCCTTAGTCAAATTTCAAAAGTTGTTTGAGTGGATTAATGTCATGTTCTTGTTAGTAAGAAATGCAAATGGAAGCCGGGTGGTGGTGGCGCACGCCTTTAATCCCAGCACTTGGGAGGCAGAGCCAGGCGGATCTCTGTGAGTTCAAGGCCAGCCTGGGCTACCAAGTGAGTTCCAGGAAAGGCACAAAGCTACACAGAGAAACCCTGTCTCGAAAAACCAAAAAAAAAAAAAAAAAAAAAAAAAAAGAAATGCAAATGGGGTATACTAAGACTACTTTTAAAATGTAAAGAGTTTTATTAAGAAACTGCTTTTGGATGTTTTGCTAAGTTTTCAAAGTGTTAATGGTTAGATTGAAAATATTGTTTTTCAATATGGGTTTTTAGGAATTGTATAAGTTTGGGTTTCTCTAACTAGGTTTGAGATTTTGTTTAAAAAATTATAAAGAAAAGGAGGAGTTATGAGATTGAATTATGTTTGCAGAAACCTATTGATATTAATGCACCCTGGTTTTGGGGAGTTAAGGAAATATTTAAGTTTGATGTGACTACATTGAAGTTTTTCCTTATGTTCTGTTAGCAAGAAAATTCAAATGATTGAGTTAAAGTTGTAAGATGGAGAAAACTGTTAACTATATTTAGCACCATATATGCTAATTCAAATGGTTCTGTTAAGAGTTTGCTTTGAGTTGTAAGATTGAGAGAATTGTGACTATGTATAGCAATATTTATGTTAACCTGTTAATGGTAATGATGAAGCTAAGGGATTCTTTAAGTTTGTAGTCGCCTTAAGAGTTTTTGGTTTAGAAAGGGCTTGAGGCAGCTAAGACTGCTGTAGTCACCTTGGACCTAATTCAAAAGAGAAATGCCATCTTTATCATCCTCTACTCCCATATTGGGAGGTGTAACAGTTATGGAGATTGCTGTAAGCCATTAATAGTTATTTTTTATATATTAAGAAAGGGGGACCTGTGGGAGTCCGTTCTCGGGTTCCTCGTGACTTTACCCAGCAGGTCCGCATAGTGGATGATTAGACCACGGGCCTAAGTGCAGGTGTCTGGAATGGTCTGCACTTGGCTGTGCTGGGGGAGGAGGTCTTTTGCTCCACCCCTTGGCATCTCTATAAAAACCCTGGGGCAGAGACAGTCGGCCCGTTGGAAAAGGTTCCAGGCTCTCTCTAGGCTATCCTTTATTTTCTATCTGTTTATCTCCGCAATATTCTCCGCAATAAATCCTTCTATCTAATATTTCCTGCTGCTCACACTCAAGAAAACTCTGGGGAACTGTGGGGGTGGTGGGTAAACGCCCCACAATAAGGCATCCAGGGTAGGGTATACTTGCAAAAGATGGAGATCAATAAAGGTAACTTATGCCCATCACAACAGAATAGCTTCGCAGCGTACCCTTGCTTGTACTATTCAATCTGCTTGAATTTTTCCTCCTCTCATTAGTCTAAATTTGCAACAAGAAGCTGGAGAAATGACTGAGTGGTTAAGAATGTATATTGCTCTTGCAGAGGACCCAAGTTCAGATACTAGCACCCATTCTAGATAGCTTACAACCACCTGTAACTCTAGCTCCAGGAGATCTGATGCCTGACCTCCACAGGCACCTGCACTCATGTGCACATATCCTCCTACACACATACATACACGTAATTAAAAATAAGTCTTTAAAAATAAAATAAACTCACACCAGGACTTACTTTTTTCCCATTATCACTATGAAGGATTCTCTTTTATTTAAAATATGGCAGTTCTTGTATCATCTTAAACACTTAATATACACTAAGGCTGTCGTTTGTAGTATGATATGTAGTGATCAATATCATGGAGGTGGATATATGTGCTTGTTTCTTGCCTACTTTATTTAATACCAAGATTTTTAATGGTAAAATCTGAACTTCATTATTTCTCTACAGAACACTGAGCATTGTACTGTACACTCAATTAAATACTGACTTAACTATCAAATTAATAAACATAAAGAACTACAACTATGAATTCTTGACACATTAACAAAAATATATCTTCTTTTTTAATGTTCTGAACAGCAAGAGAAAAAAGCAGTCTTAGTCCCAGATCTCAGTCCCCCACACCCTGGCTGGGAGGCTGTTACCAAGTCAGTAAATTCCCCTCAGTTCAGTCTCATCGGAACTTAGAGTGCACATTTAAAGGCGAAGATGGCAGTATACATTTCAAGGACTCAGGGGAATTCCTAGACACATCTCTCCATTACCAAAACATATTCATTTCAGTGTATTTCTCTTACATGTAGGAAATAATTCCCTTTATAGCCAACTTCAAAAACACTGAAATAATTAAAATTACTTGGGAGAAATTATTTAAGATGTATTACAGAACTGTAAAAAATCAAAATAAAGCAATATTGTTCTTCCCTACATTATAGACAAATAAAATATAAAATGGTAAAAGTTACCACTAGAAATGTTTATAGACTATTATTATTAAAAATATACTAGCAGAATACATTACTTTTTACAGAATTTGGACACAGTAATAATCATTACAGAGAACAAAGCAAAGGAAATGGAGGTAGGATACTCTGCCTGGTAGATGAGAGTCAACAATATACTTCTGATAGGGAAGTGTTTTAAAGCAATAAAGTCATGTATGTACTGTTATAGTCTCTATTTAGAGCAGTGGTTCTCAACCTTCTCTCAAAGGGAAGTGACCCTTTGAGAGGTAGAATGACCCTTTCAGAAGGGTCACCTAACATAATTGGAAAACAGATATTTCCATTACAATTTAAACAGTAGCAAAATTAAAGTTATGAAGTAGCAACTAACATAATTTTATGGTTGGGAGTCACTATGACATGGGGAACTGTATTAAAGGGTCGCAGCACTGGGAAGGTTGAGAACCACTGGTTTAGAGGTCTGACCTCTTCCTTTCATTGAAAACATAGTAAGCTAGGCTTGAATTCTTAAAACAAGGTAAAGAAAACATTCTGGAAATTTATGTCAGAAAGTTGAAAGAGAAAGAAAGTCAGAGAAGAAATATCATTTTAACTGTTTAATATTTTTATTAATTAATAATATTTAAACAATGACTTTATTGTTTGTCTAGCTCTTAATATGAGCTAATGATAAATATAGAGCTTTGGAGTGGTTTGGGTTTTTTTTTTTTTTTTTTTTTTTTTTTTTTTTTTTTTTTTGAGAGACAGGGTTTCCTGTGTAGCCCTGGCTGTCCTGGAACTTGCTCTGTGACAAGGATGACCTTGAACTTAGAAATTCACCTACCTCTGTCTCCTGAGTACTGTGATGAAAGGTGTGTACCACCGCGCCTGGTTTGAAGTGGTTTTTTTTTTTAAGATTTATTTTTAATTAATGTGCATGTGCCTACATGAATGTATGTGTCATATGTAATCAGATGCTCGGGGAGACCAGGGACCACCAGCTTCCCTGGAACTGGAATTACAGGTGACTGTGAGCCACTTGATAGGGGCTCTAGGAACCAAACTCAGGTCCTCAGCAAGAGCTCTGAGTCATCTCTCCTGGCTCGGAAGTAGTTTTCTAATAACCTATCTTAGAAGTATATGTAATACTGATATTGAGTAGTTATTAAAAGAAAAGAAAGAAACCGAGCATCACTAAGACTACAGAAGAACTTAAATTGTTCATATATATTTCTTCATGTTTCTCTTAAGTTACAGAGCAGTGTTATCAATGTCTCCTCTTAGCCACTGAAAAGACAGATGCAACAAAAAACATAGCCAATACAAAGAAGGCAGAGGAGAGACACATCAGTTCACTGACCCTTACAATTTACATATTCCATGAACTCATTATACATGATTGCTTCGGTTTCTTAGTCCTTATTTCTGGTGACTTTGATACCATCATCTGAAATCTCTGTTACATCTTCTAAACCTACCTTAACTTCCTTCCTAGCACTTCTTGTGAGATCAGAATGAGACTTGAGGATTAACAAAGAAGCATAAGACGTCCATCCCACAAAACCAACTGCAACACTGATGCCCAAAAAGAATCTGTCGTAAGTGTGATAATAGGACAGTCCTTTCAACGCGAGGTCAATCAGCTCCTCACAGAGGGAGACCTGTGGGGACAAAATATACATAGAGCTTTCAGTGAAACAATAAAAGCCACATCTCCTAAACCAGGGAAAACTGGCATTCCATAGAACCAATCCACTAAGTACTCACTGGAGTGACTACAGATGGGAGGATAGGAACAGATTTCAACTGTGAGAATCTTCTTGCAAACCATGAAAAAAAAATCTCAATAAAAGAGATTTTTCAGTTTGGGAAGATAGGGCATTTTAATGGAAACTGTCTGTGATCTATGTAGTGTTTGAAAGTAATTCATTATGCAGAAATGGTCCTCAGATGACAGGTACAGGAAATGAAGGTTCTCTAGTATATATCCCAAATAATGGAAATATACATATATGTATGTATGTATGTATGTGTATATGTATATGTATATGTAAGCACGTGTGCATATGCATTATATTTTACTTTCATATTATATTATGCAAGTCTACTATAAAACATCACCAAAATACAGTATTTAGAAGAGAATAGTTTAGAGAGCTGGGGATGAAGTTTAGTGGTACAGTGCTTACCTAGCATATGAGAGGCCCTGGGTTCAAATACTACCAGGGAAAAAGTATAAAAATTAAAATCATAATTAAAAAATTATAAATATACAGATTAGCATATTTAGGCTTTTTTTTTTTAAATGGAAGAATTTTTAGTGAGGCATGGTGACACATGTCTGTAATCCCAACTGCTTTAGAGGCTGGGGTAGGAGAGTTGTAAATTTGAGACTAGCCTGGGCAACTGTGCAATTCTCTGTCTAAAAAAATAATAATAAGTAAAGGAATTGATAAATTAAACAAATAAAGTAGGGCTGGGCATGCAGCTCAGTGGCAGAGTGCTTACTTAGCATGCACAGGATCCTATGTTCAAGCCCCTGTAACTGAAACACAATACAACACAACCCAACACAACAAACAGTGGGTAGAGGCAGTCTGAGTCAAAGTTTTGTCAGGAATGCGGTGGAGTAAACGGCAAATGTGGTGCTCTGCACCCTCGTAGGAGGAGGACGGTTACTTGAAATTTGTGTTTTCATTAAAAAAAGAAATAGCAATACAGTTCCTTTCTAAAGCCAAACTAGAAAGCTGCAATCATAGATTGCCTCAAGTAAGGAGAAGCATGTCTGAGGCTAAAGGCCCTCCTCAGGGAACCTCTCAACCTGCCTGATCTGCTCCCCACATACAGCTAACCCGACCTCAAGTGCCAGTGTACTTACTGCTTCATCAAACTTTTCTTGTTTTATGTAAGACCTTGCTTTCCTTAAAGTATCCAGCTGTTGAGAATCAGAGAGCAACCTACAAAAGAGAAAGAACAGTCTGAGTGTTTCCTCAGCTGGTTTCTATCATTTCTTGCTTTTTATTCTTATAAAAAAAAGACTAAAAATTGAGAAAACAAAACAAAACCAAATACAAATGGAAAAGAAAGGAAACATTAAGTTAAACTGTACTGTTACTGGCTATCTGAATGCCTCCAAGAGATTATGGTTAAACTTAGTGTTCTTGAGCCCAGATTTCCTCTTATTTTTATGTTTTTTGGTAATGCTAGGAATCAGACACAAAGCCTTGGACATGATAGCAAGTGCCCCACTGATAAGCTATACTCCAACCCCTAACACAAAGCTTCAAACACCAACTATATTTATGAAAACTACATAAACCACCATTCCAAAGAAATTTAAGGCCAAAACAAAGAAATTCTGATTAAGTCTAGTTAATAGACCACCAAGTTCCATCACTAAGCCTTCCTGTGTATGTACTAGACACACAGATAGAGTAATAAGGTAACTCCTCAAGTGTGCTTTTTACATCTGACCAAAACAGGGCCTAAGAATCCATATTAAAGAAGTGCTCCAGAGCCTAACCAATAATAGGAGTTAATTAATAATCTGAACCTATTCAGCATTCTTACACTACAATGTGTTCAGAGAAATACTAAGCATAGAGAATAACCCAAAACTATATAAACCCAAAGGCATTATTAACATTTTAGAATAAAGAAAGCAACAAATATCATCAGAACAATTATCTTTATGAAAGGAATAAGTATGTCTAAATGCAAATTTGAATATATTCTGCTGAACTAAGCTTACATTTCTGAAGGGAGTACCATTGCATCTTAACAATGCACAAAAAGTTACTGATGGCACTGGACGCTGTGTGATGCATGGCAAAGACTAGGACAGCTGTGTATGGTTCAACACATCATAATCGCTTGTCTTCTTTCTAGTTAGTGGTTCCCCACCTCTGATGAGACTTAACTTTGATGAGAAGTAAATTTTTCAAATAACTTAAGATGGGATGGTCTGAAATTTATTTTAGAACTTGAGACACTTCTCTAGAAAAGACTCTTAATTCCAAACTTTGTATGATTTCCAAAAAAATTCATGAACCACAGAAGACTACCTATGAACTTTCTTTCATTCTATAGGAAACCCTGATTAAGAATCGGTGTTGAGGGGCTGGAGAACTATGACTCAGTGGTTAAGAACACTGGCTGCTCTTGCAGAGGGCCTAAGTTCAGTTCTAGCATCCATGTTAGGTGGCTAACAACTGCCTGTGACTGTCCTCCACAGGCACTGCACTCACGTGTGCACTCGTGTACGTACACACACACACACACACACACACACACACACACACACACACACACACATACCTACCTACACATAATTAAAACAATACAAATAAACTTGAAAGGAAAAACAACCTGTTCTGATTCTAACATCTCCCAGCTGGTTCAGCTCGAGAGAACCAAATCAAGGGCGCTCATGTTTCCCACTGCAGGAGAACCCACCATCCTCCCATGCTCCCTCTCCACAGAATTTACTTAGATTTGTAAGAAAAGGTGTCAAGGGGTAGACTGGCAGGGAAGGCTGGGGGGAGTGGGAGGAAGGATGAGAGGGGGATCTGTGGTTGGTATATGGAATGAATAAAAAACTTCTTAATAAAAAAATCAAAAAAAGAAGGTCAAGTATCTTATCTTATTGCAGAACCATTTTAGTTAATAAATTTATAAATTGAAAAAAAAAAAGGAAAGGTGTCAAAGGCAGGAATAGAAAGAAACTGAAAACAGTTACTTCAAAATGTTGCTTTGGTCCCTTTTCCTATGCTTTTGAACACCAAACATTTGGAATGTTTTCCTGGAAGCCTTAGAAATTGAATTACTGAGCCAAGGGCACAGGCATTTTTGAGGGCTGTACCTAAACTGAACTTGCTAAACACAAGCCTTATTGCGGACCTCCTCTCCCTCACTCTGACCTACTCTGATCTGCTGCGGGCTGCAAGAATATATCATAAGAACTCAGCTGGTTATGGCAAAGTCACTACCTGGAGGGATCAGGGAATTCCTCCAGAGGAAGCCAAATCCCAAGGAGTTTTTGGTGTTACTCGGCTTGTTATATATCACCTGTCTTCTGTTATGAAAATCATGTGTACCTTCATAGTTTTCCCAATTGACATTTCCCTAAGAAGGTCTAACAGTGTGGACTGATCACTCTCTGGACACATTCCAGGTATTTGGAGAACAGCCTCAGGAAAGGCTTTCTCTGGAATCAGATATCTCCCTTGGCCACTTTCAAGGACTAGCAGTAATAACAGTCCACATGCAAGTCTCCTGATTTAAGGTAAATTCCACAAGGAGACACCACCTAGGTCAGGTGGACGTTAAGTAATAGCTTTACACAATTCAGCTCGGACCCTCCTTTCTTACAGCCTTACTAACTTTGTAGACCGCTAACTCCTTACCTAACCACTTCTAGGAATATTTAGATAACCTTCTGCGCTGACAGCTATGCTCAGCCAGAACCCCCAGTTCAAGCCTCCCTGTAATTATCATCATTAGCAGCATCTAGCCAGGTCCATCCCCAGATGGAGGAGAATACTTTATCAGAGATACCTCTGTATTCTCTAAGAACAGACTTAACCATCCAGGCTACCTGTTTTGAGAAGGCCTGGCGGATGTGCCAATTAAGCCTTACCTTCCTCCTTTCCCAAACCTTACCTCCAGTTCCAGATCTCCCTTTAACTATCACGAGAGGCATCTAGCTGTACACAAGTTGCCTAGCGACTGAGCACACTTTCCCCACCCTGCAGAAAAATGGTAGATAGTTTGGACAGATAGGAGCCACAGGAAAAAAGAAGACAGTTTTATTTTCTCCCATTGACCTAGCAACTTATAGATTCTTAACATTTTCTACTAATCACGTCTAAGACTATAGTTGAGCACATACGATTCCCTCTTCTTAGATATTACCCGAATTTAGCCTTTAGTTAATTCATTTCCCCATTGGTCACTTCCCTTTGAGGTTGCAAATGATAATTAACAGTTATTGCCTCTCTATGTGATTCTTATCACCCCTCCATTTGACCCTGGAAGCCTGGCATTATATACCAGGACTTCCAGGGCATGGAGAGACGGAGAAGAGAAAAGAGAATGGAAGAACTAGGTGGGGTAAGAACTTGAGAGGAACAAACTGAGATGGGGAAGAACTAGATTGAAGGGCCTGAAAGAGAGGACTAGAGGAACATGATGGAAGATGAGGAAGAGTCAGATGGGGAAGTACTAGCTGGGTAAGAACAAGATGAAAAGGACCTAGATGAGGCAGGGTTAAGACAAGAGAATTAAGATAGAACTTAGAGGAAGCAGTAGATAAATACAGAGAGAAATCAGCCAAGAAAGGAGCTAGACATGAGAACAGAACTGAAGCTGGGTATAAAGGATGTTATGCCAGAGGAATTAAAGCAAGTGGACTATAGAGCTCGGTGTGCTGAGATTCTATTTCCTGAAAATAGTCCTTGCTGTTAGTAGTTCTCTCTCCTGAGCCCTGGGATGTATAATATTAAGGCTGGTCCCTCTAATATTATACGAGACTGATCGTGAATACTGACTGCATCCACCAACTTCCTTACAATTGATATGGCTTCTTTTATCTACTTCATCAGTTCTAAGCTCCCTAGACTACTTCTATTCCTCTTGACTCCTCATGATCCCAGACACACGTGCACACACACACACTGTTCATTTGTCATCTACCTTGCATTCACATCTGAGTTCTTGTCCATAAAGATCTTTATGCTTTCAAAAATCAAATCTTTATGGCCCATTCCAAATCTTTCCTCATATCATTACCACTTTACTGTGGGTTAATAATCAGTTTATTCACATTCAATTACATTTTAACCTCATGTGGGCCAACATAATGTCTTATACTTCCATTAATTTTTACAATAATACTTAGCAAAGTGCTAAGCACACAGAATGAATCAGTAAATCTTAATGTGTAAAAATTCTATCAAAGAGTATGTTGTAGTAGCACATGCCTGTAGCTCTCAGGGGCAAAGATCTCAGGCTTGGAACCAGCCTCAGCTTTATAGCAGACTTCAGACAAGAATGAGCCACAGAGTGAAACTCAGGCATATTCGTTTGTTTTGTTTTGTTTATAAAGCTATTAAAGTAGGAAAAAATAAAAGAATGGTATAGTCATATTGTCATCCTAAAAATACTAAGGATTTGCTAAATTAAGTAAAAAAGATGAAAATTACGAAGAATGAGAGAAAGATTTTGAAGAAGTATTTGTGCTTCAATATATAGTACATGAGAGACCACTCAGTAAGAAAACAGGAGCTGGGCTGGAGAGGTGGCTCAGAGGTTAAGAGCACTGGCTGCTCTTCTAGAGGTCATGAGTTCAACTCCCAGCAACCACATGTGGCTCACAACCATCTGTAATGAGATCTGGTGCCCTCTGCTGGTGTTAGGTACATGCAAGCAAGCAGAACACTGTGTATAGATAATAAATAAATAAATCTTTAAAAAAAGCAAGCAAGAAAGAAAGCGAGAAAGAGAGAGAGAGAGAGAAAGAGAGAGAAGAGAGAGAGAGAAAGAGAGAGAAGAGAGAGAGAGAGAAAGAAGAAGAGAGAGAAGAGGAGAAAGAAGAGAGAGAAGAGAGAGAAAGAGAGAGGCAGAGAAAATGAGGAGAGAAGAGAGAGAGAGAAAGAAGAGAGAGAGAGAAGAGAGAGAGAGAAGAGAGAGAAGAAGAGAAGAGAGAGAAGAGAGAAAGAGAGAGAGAGGAGAAAAGAGAGAGAAAGAGAGAGAGAGAGAGAAAGAGAGAGAAGAGAAAGAGAGAGAGAGAGAAAGAGAGAGAGAGAGAGAGAGAGAAGAGAAAGAGAGAGAAGAGAAAGAAAGAGAGAAGGAGGAAGAAGAGAGAGAAGAGAGAAGAGAAAAGAGAGAGAGAGAAAGAGAGAGAGAGAGAAAAGAAGAGGAGGAGAGAGAAAGAGAGAGAAGAGAGAAAGAGAGAGAA